GAAAAGTCGGATGCATAATTTATTAATGAACGAAATCGTATGATTGTAAAGTTAAACAATCAAAAGTCTGAAGCTGTGTTGAATTTTTAAAAATCCATGGAGAAGATTTGTTGCAAAAGGGTTTTTCCCTAGCTCCCCATTTTTCACTTACAATTCTTTTTGTAGAATATGTAACATTTCAGAAGAACTGTTATCAACAAGTTTCGGAAGAGTGAATCTCATCGCAATATCGATAGAGCGTGATGATGGATATATACGTATATCAACAGAAGACCCTTGCTTGACACATAGGTCTTCAGGTTTACTCTAATTTATCCATATTTAGAATATATACACCCATAGACTTGTTCAATCTGAATATTAACATGACTATTGTATAGAAGTAGAAATTTGTCTTGATTAGAAGGCAAAGAAATCATGTCAATCCAAATGAAGTAATTATATCTGACATCTACTTATGTGTTAAACAATTTATATTTATGAGATAGGTTAAGCTTTTGCTAAGAGCATTTTGAACACATTTGATAATCTGGTTGAAAAGAATATATTAATATTCGTGTTAGCGATGATTCACCCTCATTCTTACCCCTTGATGTCTTTCTATATCTCTCCCTCGTTGTTCTTCATTATTGTTACTGTTTCTTCTTTTCTTCTATCATCTCTTCTCTATTGTGTTGTGTGATATATATATATATATGTACGCTGATTTAAGGACATTTGGAATATAATAAAATAAACGAAGTTAAAGTTCGTCGAAGCGAGCTAACAAGCTGATATGAAACGACAACATAAGCATGAATCATGAGACAATGAGGATTATTCAAGCAATCAGATAAAATAATAATAATAAATGAGTGAAATTTGTTTACAAAATTTTCTATTGAAGAAATCAAATTTTCTCTAATCTAAGCATGACAAAAAAGAAGTGCTCAACAAAAAAATCGAGTCTAATGTGATCTCATCTTTTTAAAATATTTCAAGTTTTTGTAAGTTTTTTTTCTGATTTTTTTTTCTAATCTAACTATTATATGTTATTCTACAAGAACATTGTTCAAATATGTTAAAAGTAAGATGAAAGAAAATTCTTTGATCAAACACTTAAAGATTAATTACCTTTATAAGTTCGTACAGCAATATGAGCTGAATTTGATTGATTACAATTTGGATCATTATGATAAAGATCATTCATAATTGAAAATAGTGCTTCAATACGTTGATCTTGTCGTATATCTTCTCCAGCTTTAACTAAAAATCTATAATTATTTTCATCATGTCCACGTATTGTTATACGTTTTGGTAATCGTAATGAATGAAGTACCAAAAGTTTCTCATCAAAGTCAACTATTTTAATATGACGTTCAATTAATGGTTTTGTTTTTTACGTGTATATTGTTCAGGTATTTCTAAATCATGTATTGATGATTTATCTAATATACGATTTTGTTGTCGAAATGTTGATAAAAAACCATGTTGAATAATCGTTTATATTTGTTTTATCTTGTATAATATTTTTTAATTTTAATGATATATTACCTAATATTAAACGTGTATCACCTAACGATATTGTTGAAAACAATTCACCATTTTTACCAAATAAATCATTAAATTATTTTTCAACAGCATTTATAAATAATATTCTTATTGATGTTATTTTAGATTTTAATAATGAATTATCTATTTCATTATTATCTTGTGTATTTGATAATATCAATTGTCCATCATTTGTTTCATCAAGATTAATTATATCAGAAAAAAATATTTCTTTAAATTTAATTGAATGTGCTTTAAGTTTATCAATATCTCTTGTATTTGAATCATTTGTTAATAAATGAAATAGTTCTTTTGACCATGTATCAAATTGTTGTTGAGAATTTAATTGATTCAATGCTTCAATAAATTCATTAACAAGTGGTGTATAACGATCTAATTGTTGTTGAATTAATTCAAGATTATATTTTAATATTGGATCAGTTATTGAATATTGTAACGTTTCATAACTTAATTTAAATGGATAAACTATTGATTGAGGATATAATTTTACAATTTGTTCAATTACTGGATATAATTTAAGACTTGAAAAAAGAAAACAGATGAAAAAGTATAAAATAGATTTAAATATAAAATTTAATTGAAATATTCGATTTTAAATTTACTAATTGAAAGTTATTATAATGATAGTTTTGTTAAATGTGTTATTCAGTATATTTATTTATCATAATTGTAAGAATTTTAATTGGAAAGAAAACTATCAGAGAATTCTCAAGACAAAAGACTTTTACGATTTACAATTATTTGTTGTAAATTGTAGTTTTCGTTTGGTGCCTATATAAACTCGTGTTCGTCATAATGATTATGGAAAAACTAAAAAAGTCTTAAAGGGATAATCGGTATGACTCGTCGTAGTCAAATTACGATAGTTTCGCCCATAGATAAGTGTAAGGTTCCTTAAGATATTCTTAAAGTTTCAAGCCAAAAGAATGTTCCTCTATCGAGGTATTGAATATTCAGGTAAACTCGATTTTTGTGGCAAAGGAGTGTTTTTTAAAAAGTCAGTATCTCGATAAAGTGACAGTTTTTTTTCGATTGCAATTTCAACGATACTCTCACAGTCTTCAGACTTATCTACGGGCGAAATTTCACTCCTTGATTTTCTAGTAAATGCCATACATTAATCAAAAATTCTATTTAACCAGCACATGTCAGCTTCATAGGCGCATGGATACGAGCCCTTTGAAGTCTCTTCTAGTCGCATCAAATTTATGAGCGAAATATCAGTTTTAAGGTTTTGAATGATGTAGGATGCCTCTACATTAGTCGTAGATGTCAAGGCTCAAGGTTTTAAAAATAGTCTTTGAATAAAACGATCTATTACTTACGCAATAGGTTTATCTAAATGTGCAGTTATTTGATGTAAACAATAAAAAAGCATTCAACAAGGAATTTCTTGTAATTTATCAGCAATTAAATCCATCGTTTTTGGACATTAATCAACAATTTATAATAAACGTGCAAAACGTTTAACACCTTCATTTGAACCATATTTCATTGATAATAAAACAGATTTAACCACTAATTCAGCTATATTATTCCCATGATCACCAGTAAATAAATTCGTTAATAAATTATTTTCATCTTCATTATTTTCATATCAACGTAAATAATCATCACAAATACTTTCTAATTCATTATAATCACGACTAAGAATATTTTCTTTTGCTACACGAATAGATGTCTAAATAAACAAAGGAAAAAAACTTTTTTTTTTGTGCAATGTATATTTATTTTCGAAGACAATAATGAGTTTCAACTTAGGTTTTAGCAGTTGGAGTTCAAAGATCAGAGGCCTATAGGTATATTTCGTACTCAATGGTCATTGATTCTCTCCTTCTCCCGATTCCTAGAGTCTAGGAAATGGATGACACAAAAACCTCGATGTAAACTTCTACTCACTAATTTCTTCCATAATATATATGTTAGTTCTAGAAAAAAAAAACTTCATAAAATCTTACTGAAAGATTTTGTAAATCAGTTTCTTGTTTTTCAATATTATCTTTTAGTATATGTACACATTTATTAAATAATTCATAAATTAATCAATCAGCTTGTTGAATTTGATTATTATTATTTTCTAATCCATATAAATACATTTCTAATTGTTTATGTTTAGCTTGTGGAATTTTTTCATCTTGTTCGTAATTGTGATAAGCTAATGGTTGTGCAAGTAGAAAATCAACAATTGTTCGACAAAATTGTGAATTTAATTGTATATAATTTGAATTTAATTGTGCTGTTTGTTGATCAATAATTTTTAACGATTGAATTTTAGTTTCCATTGTTTTAAATTCTTTTGCAACACTTATTGATAATAAACTTGATAATGTTGATGTTGATGATTGAACTTGATAACGTTTTAAATGTGCATCACAATATATTTCATTCCAATATATTGATTTTATTAATGGATTTTGACATAAATCAAGACGATGACGTGTTTCATTTAATTTTGTTAAAGCTAATTTAAAATTACGTTATCGTAATGCACAATATGACATATCAAGTAATGATTGAACTTTATAATCAATTAACACATTCGAGGCGATGTGGCCCACCGGTGGGCCACGCTATATTGTAAGAAGAAACTGTATAGAAAAACACTTTCTTTTGCTTTTTTCTTAGGCAAGAGGTTAAATGTAATATGTCATCTGCTCTACCTTCGGTATTTTTGATTTCTTTATTTCATAACATGATGCTTCTTGTTAAAACATTCAAGACAAAAAAATTTATCACATTCAGAACAGAAAGTTTTTACTTTCTTAGCTGCCGCATAACTCGCTTCTCTTGATTGTGGTTTCCTTCCTTCTTCATAGCAACCAGTGCAGCGTCTGCGAACATTGCGCGCAGATTCTTCTATTTCCTCCAGCTTATGATCAGCAAGTTTGCGTTTCAAATGACTTGTTGATTGTTGTCTCGGACCAGGTTTCAGATTTTCAAAAGGCATACCAAGGAGTAAAGATCGCACGAGACTCTCACGAAACTGCAGAATGGTTATATTGTTTGTTGTGTAATTTTCTTTGTATATCAAATAGCTATTCACTACTGCTGTTCCAAATATCAATTCAAACGCCACCTTTTGATACCATTTTATAGATCGTCTTAGACATGTGTAGTATGCTGATAGCTGATCCGACAAATCCGTACCTTGTCTTCCTTTATTGTAGTCGAGCACCACTTGTAGTTTCATGATGCGCTCGCCATGTGGAGTAGTTTTTCTGATGTCCACAAGAGCAGTTGTATGGCACGGCTTGGTAGATATCATCAGAATGTCTCTTTTGTCTGTCCATTTGATCAGCTTGACACCATCGCCATTCTGGAGTCCATAAATCTCACCCTTCTTGAGTTTCTTCAGAAGAATTGTTTCTCCAGATCCAACACGGCTACTTTTCAATGTTCCAATGAGGTAAGTATCATTCTCTAACAATCGTTTCGCAAGACCAATACTCGTAAAAAAATTGTCAACTACCACAGTTCGATAGCATCCGAAAAGATCTTCTAATAATTGCATGATGACTATTTGGGAATGACTAAGACCAGTCGTTGGGTTCTGCTTTCCTGTATAAATTATAAAATTCCAAGTATATCCATTCATGTCCGCTACTTTATACATTTTAACCCCATATTTATGGGCTTTGCCTGGAATGTATTGCCTGAAAGAGAGTCGGCCTCGCCAGGGCATCATTGTTTCGTCGACGGTAGTGACAGAACCGGGCGTATAAATCGACTTAAATCTAGCTTTCAATAGGATCAAAAGTGGATTCAACTTGGCTAGTTTATCTTGGCTTGCATCCTGTTTCTCATTGTTAAAAAAATGCAAAAACTTGAGAAGTAATTCGAATTTGTCTCTCGACATTGTATTTTGAATGATTTCTGATCCGTACAATTGACTTTTGCTCCAGTAGTAATCTACTTTTGGCATTTGCACTAAGCCCATCTCGATGACTATCCCCAAAAATTTCAGCATTTCTTCGTTAGTAGTTGGTTCCCATTGAAGATTTTTTGATCATTTGCTAAGTTTATGTGTTAGTAAGTATTGTTCTGCATATCTATTAGTTCAGTGACGTCTTCGCCGAAACTTGCAGATTCGAAGTGCATTCTAGCGAAATCATCATCCAAACAACTCACTTCACTGAGTGAGTCAACGCTATCTTCTGTACTGGCTTCTTCTGACGACATGTAAAATATTCAAGAAGACTGACAATTTTGATCGCTTTTATACTGATGAGCAACAATAAGAAGAATAGACACGAATTCAACAGAAAAATCTAGAAACTTCCTATCCTTATCTTCCATGNTCCGCTTGTTCCCCCTTGCATTAGACTCGATTTTTTTGTTCAGCACTTCTTTTTTGTCATGCTTAGATTAGAGAAAATTTGATTTCTTCAATAGAAAATTTTGTAAACAAATTTTACTCATTTATTATTATTATTTTATCTGATTGCTTGATAATCCTCATTGTCTCATGATTCATGCTTATGTTGTCGTTTCATATCAGCTTGTTAGCTCGCTTCGACGGACTTTAACTTTGTTTATTTTATTATATTCCAAATGTCCTTAAATCAGCGTACATATATATATATATCACACAGCACAATAGAGAAGAGATGATAGAAGAAAAGAAGAAATAGTAACAATAATGAAGAACAACGAGGGAGAGATATAGAAAGACATCAAGGGATAGGAATGAGGATGAATCACCGCTAACACGGATATTAATATATTCTTTTCAACCAGATTATCAAATGTGTTCAAAATGCTCTTAGAAAAAGCTTAACCTATCTCATAAATATAAATTATTTAACACATAAGTAGATGTCAGATATAATTACTTCATTTGGATTGACACGATTTCTTTGCCTTCTAATCAAGACAAATTTCTACTTCTATACAATAGTCATGTTAATATGCAGATTAAACAAGTCTATGGGTGTATATATTCTAAATATGGATAAATGAGAGTAAACCTGAAGACCTATGTGTCAAGCAAGGGTCTTCTGTTCATATACGTATACATCCATCATCACGCTCTATCGATATTGCGATGAGATTCACTCTTTCGAGACTTGTTGATAACAGTTCTTCTGAAATGTTACATATTCCAGAAAAAGAATTGTAAGTGAAAAATGGGGAGCTAGGGAAAAAAACCCTTTCGCAACAAATCTTCTCCATGGATTTTTAAAAATTCAACACAGCTTCAGACTTTTGATTGTTTAACTTTACAATCATACGATTTCGTTCATTAATGAATTATGCATCCGACTTTTTCGGAACGATAGCATCGGTAACTTCGAAAAGATCCTAGCAGCATAGGACACGTAGATTGTGGAACGCTAGATGCTAAATACTTTACTTTTAGCATCAGACGTAAGTAGTTTACATTTTCATAAAGCAGAAAGTCGCTGGTTGACAATTCAGTTGGTGATAAGAAAAAAAACAAATTGTAAATAACTTACAAAGTGAATAGTTTTGTAGCACTAAGCATTTTTCTAACAAATTAGGCTCAAACTGAGCCTTCAGTATATTAGAAAGTGCCTCTAAAAGAGAAAAAAAAACATTTTAGCTTGCTCGTGATGCCTCGTTCGTTATTCACTTTTCTTATATTTGTTTTCGTTTATTTTCTTTATTACAAGTGGAGTTTACTTTTAAGAATAAAACTTCCTGTAAATTTTCATTCGTTCTTTTCTTGTGTTTTTTTAAATTTCCGATCTGAATTAATTGTTTTTACTTTGAACAATTTAAAAATCATGTCTTCATCTAACATTGAAAGTTAACATCATGTCAAACTCTTTCCACTGCTGAGTCCTATTAAGATGCCACATGATTCCGTAATCTAAAATTTTTCTGTTAATATTTTTTTCATCGAAATTTCTCACTTGTTTCGTTGCAATGAATATGTAATGCGGTACAAAACAGAGCACTTCTGTAGTCAGTAGCGTACGCCGTTGGCCTCCATACTTTGCGTTGTTTTTGCTGTAACAAAATCTGTACTTTGTGTTGTGGTGATTTAGAGAACAGCGAGTCGATAGAATCTTGTTCAGATTTTGTCAGAGAGAGAGAGAGAGATCGATGTCTTCTTCCCTAGAAAATCTACTACGAGATTAACTACTATAGACAATTTTTGTATACGACGTCGTTTATTGTGGTATTTGCTTTGTCACTGCTATTAATCCAAATAAAAAAAAGAACATCATTTATTTTTTCCCGATTCATCGACGATTTATTTGCATAGGAAGTAATACTCTAAAGCGTTATCTATGAGCAAGGTATTGGTCAGTAATTTATCTAAAGTAGAAAAAAATTATACAAAGAAGTCATCGAAAGGTATTCAAGTCAGATAGATAATTAATTTCGATGCTGTATACAGATTTCATTAAATCTTACAGAGAATTCGTTCGAAAAAAAAGGAAACCTTTAATTTATATTCTTGGTATTTGTTCTGTTAAACATAAACATGTATCTTCTTGAGGAATAATTTTTTTATTTTATGAATATAGTTTGACTTCTATTTTGAAGGGAGAATCGAATCATCGGATTCTCAACAAACAGAAACTTTTATGGAATAAATATAAAAAAAAAGATTTGTTTTCATTATGGGTGTGGGTTATCCGTACTTAGCGGACTCGACTAATGACACACGCCTCGCCTAAAGAACTTTTGATCATTTGGAGAAATTCCCTCGCCAGATATCACTAAAATTTTTCTGAAGAGCATATGACTTGCAAGGCTAAGACACATCTAAGGAATCAGAATTAAAACCACTTTAGTATAGTAAAAGTAGATCTGAATATTAAATTTTGTATTGTTTATTTCACGAGAGTTTGGCTGGATGTGGGTTAGATTCGCATGACGGTGAGGGGATGAGTTTTCTCTCTTCTTCCACACCCGCAAAAAATTTGCTTTCAAACTTAGAGTATGTAGAAGCCCACGAAAACACAACTTTTTTTCGAAAGTATTTGACTTCATCATGAGATTCAAAAGAGTCATTCATCACTGAGCGTTTTGCTTTTTCATTGTTCTGGCAGCATATTTTATTGTAACATATTTATTGTTATACGAATTAAAGATAATTTAATTTTATGGAAACGTAGACTAGAGATGAGCAGGACCAAGTTTTTTTTGGTCCCGATCTCGATCCCCGTCTACAGAAAGCTATTCCAGAATTTAATCGTGTTACATCTAAAATAATTCGTCAATACTCTTTTTCTTTTATTTATTTAGTCGACGACAAGCACTTTTAGTTTATATGTCCTAAATTATGGTCCGATTTATATGATTAATAGCATGATCTGCTTCAAGCCATAGAATATTTTACTATAAATTTGAGTTCAGATCCCGACAAACTTTTTCTCGCGATTCTGGTTCTTGTGGTCTGTACCAGAACTGCTTCCGCACATGTGTAATCGTGATATATGTGAAACGAAATTGTAAAAATTTCATTTTCTCTTGAGATGCTTTTCCAAATATCACAAATATGATTTATCAACATAGGTTTTTGTATTGTGCTGTCGTTTCTCACTATTCCCATGGAGTAAAAAAATCATAAAAATTCCATGGCTTTCGTGAATTTTATGCCAAAAATACGAAAAAATGGTAATTTCAACGATGAAACGGACAAAAAAAATTAATTTTTAATAAAAACCGTGCACGATTTTCTACGTTTCTTTTATGATAAAAACATAATATTATTCTTTTCTCTATACCTCGATGTATTTCGCAGACAGTATCGAGGCCTAATCAAGAAGAGAAAAGAGAAAATAAGATATCGTATGCGACTTGGTCACTTGCCGTGATGATCTCATCTTTGTTTTCGAACGAACAGTGGCGTTCATGTGACGAATGGATTATCGGCAAAAATGTTATATTGATATCGAAAGGAGAGAGAGAAAAATAGAGAAGGAGAACAATTAGGCTATCTATAAAAGACAGTGAAAATTCAGAGAATAGTCATAATAACTATATCAGGAGGTCGAGAAGTAAGTATTGTTTTCACTATTTTTCATTTCGCTGGAGTCTACCTTATGGTGAGCCTTCGAATTCATAAGCGATCGATCGGTTGAACATGTTCCTTCGAATGCGATAGATGGCAGGCACTGATGTTAGTAATAGCCATTGAGAAAGACAGCTGAACCTCTAGACGCATCATATGTTGAACAGAGCAAGAAGAAAAAGGGCTTTGTTTGTTTTTTGAGAAGAGCAGAGGTGAAAAGGAAGTGAGCGGAAAACATGGCAATAAACGAGAATGAAGTAAGAGACCCTCTGAAATTTTTTTTACTTTTAACAAAAAAAATTATTTTTTTTTTAGTACTTCTCTGGTGATAAAGGTGAACCGGTCGATCAGAAGCAACTTGATGATGCTCTGAAACCGGTCAAAACCGGCCTTACGGCGATTGATACTCGCCTTACGGGGATTGAAACCGGTCTTGCGGCGATTCAAACCACCCTCAACAGCTTGGTTACCCAGCTGAACTTGTTACTCAGTCAGAATCCCAAGTAGAAGCTCACCGCTTCTGCTAAATGAAGTATTTCTTTAGCAGGTGTTCCACAAGGAATTCAGAGTAAGATTGAGCTGGTTGTTTCGTATCATGAAAGAGTGTTCTAGCTTTCGATATGATATCATATCGAAACTTAGAACAATATTTCATGCTAGGGAACAGCCACCCATGTCGTAAAAACCGGATCAGTTTTAGCGGTAAATCGCGGTTTACCAGCTAGGAACCGGTAAATAGAACAAAACCGGCGGTTTACCGTGGTAAACCGGAAAAAAAGTAGCGGTAAACCGGAAAAAACCGGGGTTAGCTGAAAAAAAACCGGGGTTAGCTGAAAAAACCGCGGTTAGCTGAAAAAAACCGCGGTTAACCGGAAAAAACCACCGGTTTTTCGCTGTATGGGAGCCGGTAACAGGATCGGTAAAACCGCGGTAAACCGCTGGTTTTCTTCCGGTTTTCACAACATGGGCAGTTTCAATTTTACTATGGATTCATTGCAGAACACCTGCTTAAGAAATAGCTCGATGCAAACCCGGCTAGTTATGTCGGGTCCGCTTTATATAGCGGTGACTTGTCTTAGGGTGGCAACAGTAAAAGCAATGAACACATAGAAGCAAATCCTATTTTAATGATTTGCTTAAAATGTGGTCATTGCAGCAATTTCATTAATTGAGGGTGTGAGGTGTAGGGTGTGGATAATCTTTTCTCTTACATCCTCAGACCAACGCCCAATGACACCCACACCCACACCCTTTTTCATTATCTGATATAAGTAATTTAAGTTTAGCACGTATAGCATATGGCATTAAATAATTTAATTGATGTGCATTTGACCATAATGTATCAAATTTTGTATCTTCAATAAATATATGTTTGGACATAATTGTCCAATTATTTATTTGATTACAACAATTTAACATAGATTGTGTCCAAAATTCATGTTCTAATTCTAATATAGGATCATTTGATGTTTCATCTGTTAATGGATATTGTTTTAATGCTGTAACATAACTATTTAAAGCTAATGAAAAATCTGTATGACTTTCTTTTTCAATAGCACGTAATGTTATTAATTTTAAACCAGGTGTTTGAAAAAAAATACCACGTACATCATCATAATTAGCTAATGAACGATAACATTGAGCTAATTGAAGCCATTGATCAATTTTTTTATATAATTGATTATTTAATCAGGATCAGATTTTTATTTTTTTTTAATGGTCCATTTATTAATTGTTTAAATTCATTTTGTTGATTTAAACGTATAAAACATTCAATTGTTAATATACCAACTGATTCTAAATGACTTGCAATTGTTGATGAACTTATATATTGTGATGATATTTGTATTTTTTCTGGTTTAGATAAAACAATAACAGGTAAAGCAGTAACAAATGATGGATAACATATTTCTGATTGTGATAACATAACATCAAAACGATGTTGAATTGTATGAATTAAATTATAATATTCATCAGTTGATAATTTATCTTCAAGAGAATTTAATATTGATGTAAATAAACTTGCATATAATAAACGTGCTATATGATTATCATATTGAGCAAGTGCTTGTAAAGGAATTATGATATCACTATAACGTATTTGTATATCGGGTAATTCACCTATACGATATGTACGATATTTTTCAACTTGATTTTCTTGTTTTAATTTTATTTCATTTAAATATTGTTTTTCTGTTTCTTTTTTTTCATTTTGTCTTCGAGCAAAATAAGCAGCTGAAAATTGAAAAAAATTTTATATATGATCAATAAATAAACCAAATATGATTATGGAAATTGATAGTCGAAAATATAAGAATAACGATGGACAATGAGAGGAAGAATTCTGCAAAAAACTAAGCATGATAACTTTCAGGTCTCAGAAGACTGATAAAGTTACCGTCTTAAAGAGAACAAAATTCTGAAAAAATTCAGGATTTACCACATGTCCTACAAACTTTCCTCAAAAAATTATAAGCATCACAAAGAGAAATTTTTTTATAGCAGTATTAAAAATCGCATAATTTTTTTTGTGATGCTTATAAATTTTTGAGGGAATGCCGTAGGAAATGTGGTAATCCGTCATTTTATTTAGAAATGTGTGTTCTTTAAAACACTACTCTTAACAATTTTCGGTGACCTGAACACTTCTGTATTTAGTTTTCCAGAAGCCTTCCTCTCATAGTCAATGTTAGCATGGAATGTATTTGATAGAGAACTTATGACACTTTTTACCGGTACTATATAGAGAGAGTGAATGGATTATAAACCTTCAAATTTACTAGATAGTATGAAGTTCTTTTTCTTTAGTTTTGGGTATTTACAAATAATCATATAGAAGCGAGAGAAAACCAACTGCAGAAGAGTTCACCAGAAAAAATATGAAACTCTCCCAACAGATAGGTTTCGATAAGTAAAACAAATATTATTCTAGGCTCGAAATGCCTGAAGACTTCTCTGTGGAAGATACTGAAGTCATAAAGAATTAAATATGACTTTCTTCTTGTTCCAGACAACATGTCTTATTGAACTAAAATTTTGTTTTACAGACACTAGACACTGTTTTGTGGTGGATACATTCATATTTTTAGTCCTTTGAATAACGAAGCCAAAATATTGAAAAATCCCTAAAAAAAGAATGATTTCTTTGAATAGACTTTTTTCATCCTATATATAGTATATAGCGTATGCGAAAAAAAGTTTCAGCGTGATCGGACATACTGGACTGAAGAAACGAGAGCGTGTCTGCATTTTCGTTTTTTTCGTGAAAAATTTGACTTGAGAAAAATGAGAGAACAATGTAAAGTTGTCGTTAATTTAATTTTTTTTCCTCAAATGTACTTAGTTGATAAATATTACTTCAAACTACAAAGATATTAGGTGAATAGCTCACCATGTAATTGTCCAGAATCTTTAAGAAATCTTCTTTTAAGTCTAAAAATATCATCATCTTCTTCATCATCCTTTTGACTTAATGCATTTATTTGTGTATTTGTTTTTAATTTTTTATTTGTATTATCAACATCAACAATTAATGATGTTGTTTTTTTTGTTTGTGTTGATAATGTTGGTAACATAAATGTATTTATTGAATCTAATGTATTTGTTTGTTTAAGCCAATTATAATTTGTATTATTATTATTATCTAACATTTGTGTTGGAATAAATTGTTGTCTACTTGATATTTCTTGTGTTTGTAAAATCATTGATGATGTTGAATTAGATGGTTGTTGTTGCTGTTGATCTGCATTATTATTATTGTCACTTAATGTTTGCATAAATTGAACAGGATCCATAGTCATTAAATTTGTTGTTGTTGTTGGTATTGATGGATCAATAATTGCTTGTGATTGTAATGTAAATAAAGGTGTCATATATGTATGATGACGTTGACGCCAATTACATGCTAATGGAAATTCTTGAAATGAACATTTATCAAGTGGATTTTCAAATATAAAATGATTATAATCAGGATTATGTGTTGTACGTTCAAGAAGAAAATTTGTACAATAATTTAAATATTCATTTTCAGTTTTTATAGAATATAATTGATCAATTAATGCCATAAGACGATGATGTGATGATGTACTTAAACGTTTTGAATCACACCAAAAATTTCGACAATTAACACGTATATATTCATTTTTACTTGATAATAATTGTAGTAATTGTTCACGAACATGATGATAAAACATTTCCGATAATGGTGTTATAGATATTTTTAATTCTTTTGTTAAATAATTTGTTATATAATCATACATCCATTTATAAATTTCAAGTGTCCAAATTTGACATTCATTTGGACCATCAACATATAAAATTTGTGCTATTTCATATAATTGTTCATGTGTTAATTTAGGTAAAAGTTTATGTAATAAACGTAAAGCAACACCACGAATACCAAAGTCTCTAGATAATTAATTTAAAAGTATTTATTAAATTATACAGATATGTTTTATTGATTTAGTTACTAAAGAATATAGAAATATTGTTTATTGATACGATACTATTTTTTTCATCGTTTTTCTTATGATAATCTTACATAAAGTCTTATTTTTCTTTGGTTCATATTTATTATCATAATAATATTATTGTCTCAAAAAGAAAAAAATGCACAATCAACAACAAGTAGTCTGAAGAAATTTATAATTGTAATAAACAAGGTAGACACAGGAAAAATAAGTTTTGCTTGAATTTATATTATTGAAGATCTTACTAATTATTTAGTAGCATTATTTGCAACAATTTGTATAACTTGTATACATATAAGATAAGACTAGTTACACTATGTATCTTAGTCTTTTTAAAAACCTTTGATGCTTGCATTGTTTCACTCATATATCCTACTACCATTGTATATGCCCAACGTATACTTGATACACGTACTTTTTCATTCCCTTCTTCAATATATAATTTATTATTACT